TAAAACTAAGTATTTCATTTCCGCAAATATTGCATGAATAGGATTTACACAAGTAATTCGGCCGCGGCTTGCGAGATAGCCTGCCGGCCCCCAATTCCTAGTTGCTGCAATTACCCTCCTTGAATTATTGAACACTTAAACCTCTTTTGTCAGCTATTGTGCTTCGATGCATGGGCCCTCAGGCACGCGCATCGGAACACCTTCCCTCAAATTTAAAATATCCAACGATGGGTAAAACTTGGGGTTTTATAAAAGACTTGGAAAAACTCGACACCTGGGTCGGTGTTTGCGAACTAAATAAATTTCCAAAACCGCAGACCGGAGGACGTACCGGGAGTACGGTTTCCCCGCTCTTGCACTTAAGGACCGTTTCCTTGGAATTTTATTCGAACATAAGGCAAGTGCGACCACATGGGTGGAATAGGACACCCCTGGCTGAGTAATTAGCTAATCGGGGGAGCCATGATGCCAAGAGATATGTGGATTCAACGGGATGGTGCCGGGGAGAACCCCCGGGCTTCCTGGCACAGTATGGTCTGGGACCTAATCTGATGTCGGTCTGGGACCCCTCTCGTTGGCATATGGTGTTTAAATAAAATCAATAGCAAAAACAACAGTCTTCCCTTGAAGCATGCATTAAACACTTAATTCCCATGGCTTGCTGAGTACGAAAGTACTCACCCTTACTCTCTCTCTCTCTCTCTCTCTATATATATATATATATATATATATATATATATATATATATATATATATATATATATATATATAGTTTCTCTGCCTTGAAGAGAAGATGAAGTGAAGCGAAGATTAGGGTTTCGTCCTGGTTCCCAGCCGTCGCCTGTGGTGATTGGTGTTAGTTCGTTAGTTCTGCTGCTGCTGTTGCTGTTGGTGTTTCCTCGTCCGCGTCGTCGGTTGTATTCTCGGGCTGTCCTGAGCTGCAACCTAAGTTAAGGTAAATAAGTCCTCTATTTAATTTAAGGATTGCAATGATTCATATTTGTCACCGTGGGTACCAGCGCTATGTCCTGGGACTGGTACTGTGATCGCGGTTTCGTAGGAAGCGATTCGCGTCGTTTTTCCTACGACACGCTCCTATCAGGTGCCGTTGTACGGCGGTGCCAGATTGGGGTGTGACAGATACCTGACAGGTTTCACATGATACCTCGCGAGTATCACGCGATACGTGGTAGAAATCGCATGGTACCTGATAAGTATCACATGATACTTTCAAGTATCACCTAAAACGTGTGTAGAACGGTCTGATACCTGATAGTTATCACATCTGATACCTACTTGGGATCATCCTGTGTGTATAATTGTCTGATACCTAATAGGTATCACACCTGATAACTATTTGGGATCATTCCGTTCGAAAACGGGATTCCGTTATATAGCAGCCCCCTAAAAAAATCCAATAATTCAGATATTAAAGTTTCACGCAATACATTTTACATTTTTTTATTATTTTTCTATGACTTATCAGCCATAGCTCTACCGATAGCGAGTGTGTGTGAGAGAGAGAGAGCGCGCGCGTGCTGCCGAAGTGACGGTCAGTTGGGACGTGCTTGTCGATTGAAGGGAGAGAGGCGGATGTACCAACGGTCGACGACGTACCGGCCGGCGCTGCCGCCTTCGGTTGCCTCGTCGCGCCTCGCGCGCGTTGCCGATCGGGAGAGAGCTCGCAAGTTGCCTGTGCGCGCGTGTGGCGCCCAAGCGATCCTAAGCTTGGCACCGTACGTGCAACGACCGCGCGCTCCATGTCGGAGAGAATCTTTGCCTGCGAGAGAGCGAGCTAGCAAGCGGCTGTTCTCCTGTTCCTATCTGGCGTGGTCATGTACAAGTCTGTGTGTGTGCGTATGGACCCATCACCACACACCCCAACATCGGTCGCATGATTCTCATGGCAAAATTGGGGATCGACTTGGGATCGATATGGGTACAGCTGATGCTCATGTGAGTGGTGGTGGATGAAGCTATACTACTAGCTGGTGACCTGGTGTGTGCGTGTTGCTCCTTTTTGTGTATGGATCAGTGGATTGACACGACTGGCACTCGTGGAGAAAGCATGGGGCGGGCGAGACGGACGCCGAGGTTTGTAGTACTTGGTTGCACCGTACTATACGTCCGTACGGTCGGTTAATTGCTGCCATCGGTTAGTTACGCACATCGGCATAGGTCGACTATTTTAGGCCTGTATATATGGAGAGGATTAATTATGTCAGCTGCAGTTTTCTTTTTAAGAGAAAAAAATCTTCAGCTCTCTAAGCATGCACATTGATAAGCCGTCACCGTCAGGAGCACTGGTGCACCGGTAGTAAACTAAATTAAAAATAGGTGCAATACTGTTGATACAGTAGCAGTGGCTAAGATGTGGGTCTGGACTCACACGTCAATATCTGTATCAGCAGTATTATAGACAATTCCCACCGATTAAAAATAGACATCCATTTTCAGGTGATCAACGGAGATGCATCCCTGCAGTTGATCTCGCGAATGAAACGGCATGCATACATCTCTTGTCAACTTCCAGTGGCAACAGTACTTGACTTTGGTTGCATGCATGCGTGCAGATGTGCAGCAGTGCAAAGATCCCCTGCAGCGAGCTCGATCTGGGGTGCCACTTGCTAACAGTGCAGATTGCTTGCCGACAGGCTGATGCTGTCCATTTCAGCTCAGTCAAAACACTGTTCGTTTTTCGATCGTGGAGTACATGCATCATGTCATCTCGTTTCTTTTTCTTGTTTGGATGAAATGGCAACCTCGAGTCTTCTTTCCCTTTAATTTGGTGCCAAACTGCCACTGGCCTTTTGTACATAATCCTAGCTGGTTTGGTGAGCTTTGGACCGCCAGGTTTGTAGCATTTTCCTCCTTTTAGACTGACATAGTTTATGGATAAGACTAGCCGCCGACGGTTGTTTATATACATCTCGCACGGGACAGGGGATCAGCTAGTGTGTATATATCAGTTGTTATTGTTTATTGACAAAAATCAGAACAGCATATCTAGCCGTGCGTATATCACGAAAATCCTTAAAATGCAGCAAAATATATAATTCCTTTATATCGAGAAAAGGAAAACAAATTTGAAAACATAATTGATCTAAAAGGACTATTTGTGCTAAGCTATAATAAAGCTCTAGTAGTCGTACTCCATCTAAGAGAAAACCAACCAGATTATAGCTCTGGGACCGAAGCTATAGTATAAGACATTTTGAGTTTGGTTTGGCTAGATTTATATATAAAAAAATCAGTAGCATTTCTAACACACAATAAGGTTGTGTTTGCTAGGAGACTCCACAACTTTTACCTCTTGTTTTTCGTGCGCGCACTTTTTAAACTATTAAATAATATATTTTTAACAAAAATCCTATATAAAAGTTACTTTAAAATCATATAATCTATTTTTTAAATTTTTTAGCTAATACTTAACTAATCATTTGTTAATCATATGCTCTATTTTGCATGCAAGGAGCGAGGGCTCCCAACCCTCTAACGAACGCCTATGTGTGACCTAAATATAAATATATAAACTGTTTCACAAAATATAACGTAGGGAGTAGGTAAAACTAACTTATGAAATATTGGTAGTGTGCATTTATTTTTTTGAAAAAGTTCTGTATAGATAATGCTTGTTCTCAAATGTCGGTACATCAGAAGTTTAAATTGACATCAACTCCTAACTAAAGGAAATAAACGAATTGAAACTTAGTGGGCCTAAATAGTACTGGACACGCAAGGTCCAATCAGTAGGCTTGATATATACTACTATAGGCTTGGGCCGGTCATCTTAATTTAACGGGTCGATCTCCAACATAAACTTGAGGATTGAATTAAAGACGTATCTCAACACCGATTTAAAAATGAAATTAAAATGCATATCTATCATTTTTTTCAAAAGATTATTATGTGTTTGAGAATTTATATTTTGTGTCGAAAATATTGTACAGTTGGGATAGACATGCATAACAGTGAAGTAGATGTATACAATATACTAACACTATATTTTATCTAACTACAAAATTTTGACATGTAACACAATCAATCGTTCTAAGTTTTAGTTTCTAAGAAAGTACATGCATTTATTTACAAATTCCGACGGGCCTTCGTAAACTTTGACCATTCATTATGGGCCCGAATTGGCTATATTGGCCCATGCTCTGTTGATATACACATCAGGACGGGCAGGCAGTGTGAGAGTTCAGACAACATCACTAGACGTATGCAGGTCCGTTTGGATATGAAACCAACTACTACGCTCTTCGTTTCAAAATGTAATAATTTAAGAGCCTATTCGGTTCACAGGATTTTTAAATCACAGGAATAGAAAAAATGTAGTAATAATATAGGAATGCACGTGCAAAACAATGGATTGGAACACATGAATTTTTTCTACACTGAGCTAAACAAAAGAGGTTGGAGTGGATATTTTCATTCCTATGGAATTAGTACATTTTGGAGGATTGGCATAGTGTTTCTACGGAAAATTTTTCTTTGAATCCTACAAATCGAATGCATGAACAGTGCTTATTCTAGAGGAATTGAGATTTTCTTTAGGAGTCCTTGAAAATAAATAAAGTCTTAAAAAGTTTAGATTTATAGTATTAAAATGTACCGTAGAAATGTAGTAAAAGGTTTGTTAGAGAAGCCTGTGGCTGTGGCTGTTCTATACATGCACGTCAGCATAAAGTCAGTGGACTATAGGCTCCATCCATGGCCCACGTGCAGTGAAACGGGTGCAGGATTGGTGGGTGTGTACGTGTTTGGAATGAGCTGTTCCCAACATATCCACAGTACACACGGAAAACATAGCGGTCTATTAGTGAGAGATTAATTAAGTATTAGTTATTCTTTTTTAAAAATGGATCAATATGATTTTTAAGCAACTTTTGTATAGAATTTTTTTTAAAAAAAAACACATCGCTTAGCAGTTTGAAAAATATATGCGCGTGGAATAAGATGGAGAGGAGTTGGAACCCATAATTCCAAACACAGCCGGCACCGTTGCAGATTTGATCCGACGGTCAAAATCCACCTGGAGCCCATCGGACGGACCAGACACGCGATCAGCAGCAGCACTCGAGAATCGCCGTGAAGCGTCCGAGACAAGCTTCCTTCACTCTCTCACAAATTAACTCCGGCCTCAGCCTCCTCCCAGGCTCTCAACTCAGCTACCCACTCCGGCGAGCATGGCGGCGGAGGCAGCGGCGCGCGGAGAGGGCCACGACGACGGCTACTTCCCCATTCTCGAGGTGCGTATTCTGGATGAGGCGTGGCTGCGAGGGGGCTTGTGGTGGAGGAGGGGGATCCGGGGGGAGCAGGGGTTAGCCATGGCGATGGCGCAGCAGCCAGGCAATGTCAATGTGGCTGGGTTCTTGCAGGCTTCGAGGAGGCTGAGGAATCGGGTGATCATGATGTTGTGGATGCGTATGCTTCTCAGGCAGCTGGTCGTGAGATGGTGGCTGCGCGTGCATTTCAGGCGGTTCATGTGGGTGTGGCATCTGCGGGTTCTTCGGGCTCGGGTTCGTCTGTTTCTTTGGAGGATTCGGCATGACCACCTTGTCTACATCTTGGACACCATCATGGTTTTGGCATACGTCGTATTCAAGATCAATGCCAGCTTCATAGGCTACATCGAATTCGTTAAACTTAATTGCTCATCTGGTAAAATTAATTTAGATTTTCATTTTTGCTTAAAGAGTACTGGTGACATTTTTTATCCGATTTATTCATATATTTTTTTCACTATACGTTTGCTATAGCACAACACCAGTTTCTCATGGTGTTCCCTCTCGTCTTCATGCTAACCGTACTCGGTGCCTTCATCTGCACAGCCGTCAGAACTTTTATGGACGCTGTAATTTTCTCGTTACCGTTGCAGGTTAGCCATTATTTTCTTGTTCCACCCCAAACTTTTGAAACCTGACAATGGTAGTATGATAATCCTATTGCTACATTGAATTCGTGTTATTCTATTGCATTTAACTTTTTTTTTCTGCTGACTTCATCTGCTGCTTGTACAGCTTCATTGGTTGGCGATGAGTAGTGAGATCGCTTTCAATTTTAGAAGCTCTAATGTTCAGTTCTGTTGTGGTTGTATGATTAGCCAAGCAGTTTCATGTCATTTGAACAGTTGTTGCTTCCACTTCGATTGTTCTGCCGTAAAGAGACTTAGTTTGCCAACTAAAATTGTGCGCAACTCGACTAATTAATCATGCATGTTTGTGCCGTTATATATAGGCTTATAGCCTACAGCTTAATGATTCGATTCCTAGATCAATACCAACTGCAGTTACAGTGCATTCATCTTGTTATAGTTACTTAGTTAGCTATATGGTCGTTGGTCACTGCTATGTCAAGTTCATATGGCTTAATTAATTGTTTCATTTCTAGCTCCATGCCCTTTACCATCATTGTGCATTTTGTTGATCTCGGTTTACCACCAGTTTATGTGATATAAACCAACCCTTGCTTAACTGATGTGCTTATCTTGTTGTTCATTTGTTCCAGTGCTGGCGTCCGTGACGAACACGGGGCGATGTCAACCGGCTTCCCTAGTGTTTAATCCTTCTTCCGATCAGGTTTCGGTAGTACAATACTTGCTTCATGATGGCAGCCGCATCATTTGTGATACCTTGGCTGTTCTGATATGCTATGTATTTTGCAACAACCCAAATGGATTGTTATATGCAGAAATTACTCTTAGAAACTAACCCCCAATTGGAGTACTAGTTGGCATGGTTTCTATTGATGATACTCCTAGAGTCGTAGTAGTAATCTGAAATATATGTGACTGCTGCAGCTCTTACCTGTTCTGCTGCTTGTTTTTTGAAGGAAGGCAAAAGCTTTGCCTTGAATATATTAATAGAGCAGGAAAAAATATAGCGAGATATATACAGGGTTAGATGAAAAAAAACGAAACAAATAACCCGCAAGAGGAGAGGCAAAAAGCAGGGATTAAGTGATATCTTCCAAAATTCCGAACTCTTGCAGGATTGAAGCCCCTGCTTTGACCCATGCTCTCCCTTCCTCCTTGATCTTTGCTAGAATTGAGGATGGCGTAGATGCATTGTTGCGGAAGATTCTTGCGTTTCTTTCGCACCAGATTTCCCACGAGATTAAAATCACCAGGGTCCTGAGAGGCTTGCATGGGGTGTTTGGAGATTCCGTTACGAGTGTCCACCATTGCTCGACTGAGTGACAGCTTTCCGAGTTGTCCATCTGAAGGTCAGTCCCAGTCCATCTCTGCATTTCTGCCCATATCCTCTTTGTGAGTTTGCATTTGGCCAGGAGAAGCAGGGCCGATTCATCAACATTATAACAAAGTGGGCAAATCTTTTGGTTTTGCCATCCTCTTTTTTCCAGCCTGTCTGCCGTCCATACTCTATTTTGCGTGACCAGCCAAGAGAAGAACTTGCACTTCGGCGGCGCCCATGCCTTCCAGATTGACTGATAGAAGGTAGATTTGGCAGCCCCAAGGAATTGTAGTCGATAGGCCGATTTTGCCGAGTACTGCCCATTTGCTGTGAGGTTCCATCGGATGCTGTCGTGGTTTTCTCTTAGAGGCCTCATATCTCTGATCATTCTCCAGAGGCGGATATACTGTTGGAGGTGATTCGCCTCGAAGATGCGAGAGACATCAATATCTCGTATCCACTTGTTTTCTGCTAAGGCATCATGCACAGTTCTATTCTTTCTTCTAGAGGCCACGAAAATATCTGGGGCAATCAATTGCGGTGTTTGATTGTCTAGCCATTTTGAGCCCCAAAAGCGTGCAATTTTGCCATCTCCCACCGTTATTGTTGTTGTGGCCGCGAAGAGGTATTTGTCTAGCTGATTGCATGGTAGCACAGATCCCACCCAAGGCTTATCCGGCGCCACCCATTCGTTCCAAAGCCATCTGAGCCTAGCTTAGAGCTGATGTGAAATATTGCAGGTTCATAACACCTAGGCCACCCAAAACTTTTGGCCTGCAGACCCTTTTCCAGTTGACTTTACATTTTCCCTCCGAGATGTTTTCGCCCCCCGCCCAAAGGAATTTTCTTCTTATTTTGTCCAACTCCTCTAGGGTTCCGTCTGGTAGCTTTAGTGATGTTAGGTGGTAGATGGGCTACGCCGTGAGGACTGATTTCGTTAGGCAGATTCTAGCGACGGTCGACATCATTTTGCCTTGCCAAGGAGCGAGACGCGCTTGGCACTTGTCCATTAAGGGCTGAATGTGGACCTTCTTGAGCCTTCCAACCACGAGGGGTAGGCCAAGGTATTTCATTGGGAAGTTTGTTAGGCCTGCTGGGAAGATCCCAATGATGCTGGAGAGATCAATGCTATCACACCGGATAGGGGCAATTTGGCTTTTGTTGAGGTTTGTTCGGAGGCCCGTCACTTGCCCAAAATCGCTTAGAAAGCTAGTGAGATTTGTCATGTCTTGGACACTTGGGTTCACGAATATGGCCGCATCATCTGCATAGAGGGAGGTTCGGAATCTGGGAGCTCTTCCGCGAAGAGGGGACATGTGTCCTAATTTTGTTGCTTTCTCTAGAAGGTGGTGGAGTGGGTCGATGGCTAAAATAAATAGCAGCGGCGAGAGGGGGTCACCCTGCCGGAGGCCTCTTCCATGCTTTATAGGCGATCCTGGGCATCCATTGAGGAGGACCCTTGTTGTCGACGAGGCTAGGATGTTTGAGACCCAGTTAGTCCACCGAGATGTGAAGCCTTTTCTCTGGAGGAGGTCGATTAAGTAATCCCATCTAACCGAATCAAAAGCTTTGGTTATGTCAAGCTTCAACAGAAGAGTCGGCGTTCTTGTTTGGTGGAATTTTCTTGTCAGATTCCTCACATACATAAAGTTGTCATGTATGCATCTTTTCTTTATGAAAGCACTCTGGGCGTGACTAATCAGGATCCCCATGTGAGGCTGCAGGCGCAGTGCAAGTACCTTTGAAATTAGCTTCCCAACTCCGTGTATGAGACTGATAGGCCTGTAGTCTCCTACGCATTCTGCTCCCTCCTTTTTTGGGATGAGCACCACGTTTGCTGAATTGAGGATCGGGAAGTTATTACTTCGTAGCCGGTCGAAGGAATGAATGACTGCCATGATGACATCTTTTATCGTTTCCCAACAGGCTTTATAGAAAGCACTTGTGAAGCCGTCCGGACCGGGCGCTTTGTCGCTGGGAGACTGTTTAAGTGTCGCGTGAACCTCCTCTTCCGTGATGGGGCCGCTAATTACGGAGCATTCGAAAGTTGGTAACTGCAGGGCGTCCTAGTCGAGATCTTTTGAGCGTGGAGCTAGGTGTGCCATGAAGGTCTGAAAGTGTTATAAAGTGCTCTTTTATAACAGTAGCTTTTTCATCGTGTTTTACTTTCCACATGTTTCCCACTCGTAGCCTCTGAATGAAGTTTTTTCTCTTTCTTGCATTCATCCTCAAATGAAAGAACTTCGTATTTGCATCCCCCTCTTTGAGATTGGTGATTCATGCAGCTTGTCTTCTACGGGCTCTTTCCACCACTGCAAGACCCAGCACTCTGTCTTTGAGGTTCCTTCTTAGCGTGAGTTCGGCTTGAGTGAGTTGCCTTGACTCTTGGGCTATATCAAATTGAAGAATAATCTCGAGCGCCATGTGTAAATGAAGCTTCCCCTGCGAAATCAATTTTTTGCTCCACGATCTTAGTCTTTTGGCCATACATCCCAGTTTGTGAAAGAGTCTATGGTGAGGTTCATGATGGGGTTGGGGTGCTATCCAGGCTTCTTGTACCACCTCGTGGAAGCCTGGGAGGTGGATCCAAAAGTTCTCGAACCGAAAAGTTCTCGATCGTGGGGCCTCCCCTTGTCCGGTTAGCATTAGCGGACAGTGGTCTGAGAGTGAGGTGGATAGGGCATGTAAAAGATGTCTCTCGAATGCTGTGTTCCAGCTAGCGTTGCAAAAAAACCGGTCCAGTTTGACGAGGGTTGGGTTGTCTTGTTCATTACTCCAGGTGTATCGCCTATTCTGAAGTGCAACCTCCTTGAGCTCGCAAGCGTTGAGGGTTTCTTTGAAAATTCGCATTTGTCTGCGATTAATGTTTGCATTGTTTTTGTCGGAAGCCTTGTAGATTATGTTGAAGTCTCCGAGCACCAGCCATTTTGAATTGTCAGATGGCTTGGTGTCCCGTAGTTCTCTCAGGAATGTTTGCTTGGCACTCTGTTGACAGAAAACACGAGGCCTGGGAGATCTGCTTAACTCCAGTGCAGGTCCAAAGCTCGCCTTCAAATGTATGAGCGTGCCAGTTGATTTGATCATGTAATCAACAAGAAATAGAGACAAAGAATTCGTGGTTAAATCTATAAATGATAGCCGATCGGCTAGGTGTCGATGACATATCATTTATCTTTGAGCTGATGTCATATATGAATCGATCGGCGGTTATAAATAGATAGTAAGGAACTAGATCTATTCGATCGACTGTAGATATTAACGATATATAGTTCTTATATTAATAAATACTTAAATCAAGTGATTGGGATAGATCGGTCACCATGCCGAGACAGCATAAATCACTTAGATCGAAATATATATTAATAACAGGATTATATATATTTATAGCATAGCCGATCAGATAGATCTAGCATGTATCGGCTAATACTCCGATACTACTTTATATAAAGATATCAAAACAAATATAATATACCAAACAAAAGCTTAATATACTTAAATGCAATAAGATCCTGACATAAAGGGCGGATTTAACATGTCATTGAAGCATATAGATCGAATATGGTTAAATCAGATAAGATCGGCTGAAACTCCGATACTACCCTAATCGGTAACCAGAGGACAGGCTAGAGATTGATATTCTAAGCACGACTTAATAGATCAAACTCAACTGATGCAGCATTAAGTATGAAAAGAAGAACAATATCTAGACAATCAAGCCGCTGGGTGTTTCATAAAGTGGTAGATATCTTATATAATTTAGGACAACGTCGCTATTTAACCTAATCGGTTGCCTTCTATTAACAGATGTTAGCCGATTGTAGGTTAGATGATGATATTGCCAAAGATTATGTAAGATATATGATAACTTGACGAATTATATAGACAAGATTATAGTGTCATAAAGATGGAAGCACTAATCTCGAGAACATAAGTCGTCATAACAAGTTTTACCTCTTGTTGAAGATCGAAACCGATGCAGCTCAACCCGAAAGCAAGAACTCGTCGAAGCAAAACTAAAGTGAAAAGGTGGCGATGCGCCGAAATTGTATTGAACGTGTGTGTTAAAAATTACATAGGGCTCGGGGTCTATTTATAACCGAGAATTACAAGATATGTCCATACCGGACACGACCACTATCTCTAACAAACTCTAAGATACCATAAGTCTTTGTGGCAGACTTTTGCCCAAACATATCTCTAAGGAAGTTACATAAAACATCCTAATTAATAGAAACATCCATGTGCGGCAATCATCTTGAAGCACCTCAATTCAACCCAATGTCATACACCAAATTA